CCCTTGGACCTATAACTCCCACACTTCAGCCATACTGTCCTTTCAGTGCTTTGCGAGACTGATGCTTTCTGGTTTCCTCTTCCCAGGATGACATACTTCTGTTTATTCTTTTTTATAGTTAACACTTACTCTTTTCTTAAGCTTACAATTAATCACACTGACAACAACTACTATGACAAAAATGATAGTTAATACTCATCATACACTAAGTTTCAGCCAGGTGTTAAGCATGTTAGATACATTAACATGCTTAACCCTTATACCCATGTGAGCAAGGTACAATTACTATGCCCATTTTACAAGTAAGGAAATAAGCTATGCATCAAAACCCAGCCTCTTAACCACCATGTTCATCATCTATTAACAAAAGATAATTTGATGATATTCTTCAGTAGCTGAAGTCATATTTAGGACATAGAATCAATCTTTCCACATTTCACGCCACCATGTAACCTACAAAAACAAATGTAGCTCTCCAAGTACAGATTCCAGGCTCTGGAACCCAGAGTAGATCTAACTAAGTCTACATTTACTCAGAGCAACCAGTCAAAAGTATAACCAAAGCTCTAATTTGATCAGCCAAGCAATATATATATATTGCCATTTAGAACCCAGCATAGGAACAATATGAGTATTAATTATTGGTTCATTTCATTGGTGAAACAAAAGTTTCCATCTGTTGCTTTTCTTGTCCTCTTGAAAATTTGACTCAGCTAAACAGTGAGAGATTCAGAAAATTGAATCTCAATTTGGTTCAGCCTTGATCTATGTCAATTAACATAGAAGAGAAACCGTCTAAAAGATGACACACACTAATTGGGGCAAAAGAAAATCCGTGCAGCTTTTGCTAGACATCCCTGATCAAGGCCGCTTTACCTTGCCCTTCATCACAGCGCAGTCCTCCTGCCTGTTGTTTTCATGGCTTGGTTCTCCACGGAGCCATTTGGTATATGTTACAGGAGTCCCGTCACTCCATTCAAAATACATTTGAATCTTAATGTCATTTAAGCCAATCCATAACTCATCATTTGGCTCTAAACAGGAAGAAAAACAAGGAATTTATACAATGTTTCTTTCATAGATCAGGAGGTTATGAAAGGAGGGCCCTCTCCTTTATCAACAGCAGCTCTACAACCCTGGTGGTGTAACTATCATAAAAGACCATCCACTTGAGTGTCAATCTGATCTACATACTGTAGAGATATCAGCTACATTCTGTCTTGTTAATTTCTGTTTAATTGTGTAATATATTCTTTACATTGTGAATGTCACTCTGTTCTTTTGTTATGCTACTGTAAATTATATCTCCTAAATGTAAGACTGCTAAAGTGAGGTTGAGGTTGTTGTATCATTACCCTCTCTCTTGTAAAACCTCTTTTTTGTAATGAATAACTTACCATACAGCCTGCACTCACAGTTTTGGCAATAAGATAGCTTATTTATATATAAATCTATTTGAGCATTATTAAATGGTAAAATAATAAATATTAAAAACACTTCTGTGTTTCTGTTTCACTATAATAGTAATGAAAATGATCTATACAGTGAGAAAATACACAAACTGGAGGCTATCTCCTGACATTTAGGATTTATTTATTAGTCTAAAATATAAATAAATCTGTAATCATTTTCACCATGAAATACCAGAAAAAGACAAATAAGAAATAAAGGTTAAATCAAAAACAACCTGGTATAGATATTAAATATGATTATTTTGCTTTAAAATTCTGAGTGAACATCATTGATTTTCTCAGTAGTTATAAATATTCTAAATATCACAACTAAAATGAGACATAATTGAAGGCTTAAGATTTCACGGCTGAAAACACATACATTTCCAAATTTTTAAAATGAAAAATAAGCACAATTCAATATCTATTTAATTTGCATTACTGGTAATTCTATCATGAATGTTTGATTTATGTTCTTTAAATAGATTAAATGAAGTTATTTGCTAAAGGATGATAAGATGATGTTGTAGTAGGAAATGAGAAAATGCCACACTATATAGGAATTTCCCTAAATGGTTTAGTCTCTTCCTCCTAAGTTGTCATTCATCTTTGTTTTTGGAGAAGTTCCTGACTGACCCAGTGCCAGCCCCAGCAGATGTTTCCAGAACCAAGAAGCATGATGGACATTGCCAGGATGATCCTCTTTTCCTTTCACTTAATTTGGCCAAACGTGATCTTTTTAGCAGCAAATACAGGCTTCAAAATGGCTTCATATACCCTTCTAGGATTTAGGCTCAAGACTAATAAAAATTTTAACTCATAAGGTCTAGAATTATAATAAAATATTAAAAGTTTCCTATAAATATTTTTCTCACTAAACTGTTCTCCATGCATAACTTTTGTAATCCCTAAGCACAGCCTGGATCCTACAAAAATGTGTAACATTTTTTAATATTAAAAAAAAACTTGTGAGTATAAAGTTGTTACACTGATTTTTATAAATCAAGGAAGTTGTCTTAGTTGATATAATCGTAACATATGTGTGCTGATCCCAATTTGTCTACTGTAGTTCCATGATTAATATAAAAGATACCAATACAACTACCAAGAAAAGTTTTTCTAGCAATCATTTTAGAAGCAATCATTTAATGACTTTTCTTTATCTTTATCAATATTATTGGTATTGCTTACATAATAAATCCTATTATTGACATTATTGCTTATATAACTAAATCCTATCAATAATTTTAAAACAGGAAGGTTTCCATAGTGACACTTAACTAATTCTCACACTGAATTTAAAAGCAACATGTGATGGAGGTTGTCCAAGATAGCAGTGTAAAAAGATCCTGAACCGACCTCTTCCTAGGGGCACAACAAATCTATAGCTACACAGGGAACACTTCCCTCTGAAAGGGACCTGACAACCAGCTGAGCAGCAACTCTACAACAAAAGATAAAAGGGCCATACTGAGATGGGCGCAAGAGACAGAGACGCAGTCTTGCCAAAAGACCCACCTTGCTGTGGCAACCTGCAACCAAAAGTGGGGGTTTACAAGTGAGGAACTTCCCCTTGAGGAGTGAGGGGTTTGTGTTCCACCTCAGGCATCCCAACCCATGGCACCTGCACTGCAGAGACCAGACTCAAAATGTCTGGTTTTGAAAGCCAGAGGATGTAGGTCCTGGAGACAAAGCTGTAGGGAATGGAGACTCTGGTCTTACAGAGCTCATGCTCAGACTAACAACCCATGTGCAGAAGCTGCAGCATGAAAACAGCCTAAACCATATGTGAAGGAGGTCCATTTGCTAATCTTAAAGCATCTGTCAGAATAGCCAATAAAAAGGTAACCTACTATATGGGAAAAAATATTTGCTATTCATATATCCAATATGTGTAAAATATATAAAGAACTCATACAGCTCAATAATAAAAAACAAATCTCATTAAAAATGGGCACAGGCTCTGAATAGACACTTTTTCAATGAAGACATACAGATGGCCAAAAAACACATAAAAAAGATACTCGACATTGCTAATCATCAGGGAAATGCAAATTCAAGTCACACTAAGATATCGCCGTATACCTATCAGAATAGCTTGTGTCAAAAAGACAGTAACAGTCTGGGCAAGGGTGGGCAGCAAGGGCAGCCCTTGAGCACTGCTGGTGAGAATGCAAACTGGTGCAGCCACTATGGAAAACAGTATGGAGGGTCCATAGAAAAAGACCAGAACTACCAGATGATACAGCTATTCCACTTCTGGACATCTATCTCAAGAAAACAAAAATACTAGCTCAAAAAAAAGTGTATGCACTCCCACGTTCAGTGAAGCATTATTTGTAATAGCCAAGAAATAAAAACATAGAAACTACCTAAGTGTACATCAATGGGTGGATGATGGATCGCGCACACACACACACACACACACACACACACGATGGAATACTATTCAGCCACAAAAAAAGAATGAAATTTTGCCACTTGCAATAACATGGATGGACCTTGAGGGCATTATACTGAGTAAAATAAGTCAGACAGAGAAAGACAAATACCATTTGATCTCACTTATACGTAGTATTTAAAAAACAAAAAAAGTGAACAAACAAAACAAAACAAAATTCTGAGATACAGAAAATAGATTGGGAGTTGTCAGAAGGGAGGGGGATGAGGGGTAGGCAAAATGGGTAAGGAGATCAAGAAGAGCAAATTTCTAGTTGTAAAAAAATAAGTCATGGGATGTTATGTACAGCATGTAGAAGATAGTCAATAATATTTTATTTACATTTGAAAACTGTTCAAGTGTGGATAAAATGAAAATCGTGGTCAGGATTCTCACCTGGCCCTGGCTGGCTAGATCACTGCACAGGTGTGGGCAATACATTGCTATTGACTCTACATAAAGAGCTCTGCCCAGTGCTCTGAGCGACACGGTGGCATGGCTGCAAGTCTGCAGGAGAGCAGAGCAGAGGCTGGAGTGGTGGCAGTGCTGAGGACAGAGGCTCAGAGGACAGCTGTGCAGGCAGAGGGACCCAGAGGCAGAGACCAGCTTGTTGCACGCAGACTCGTTCTGAGTGGATGGGATTTTAGTGATTGACCTGCCACCATGGAAATAAAGTTGGATATAACCCTTTCACACCAAGAAAGTTCTACTGTCATTTCTTTGGTCACATTGAATCCATAACAAACTTACGGGGGGCTGAAACCCATTAGAAAGACATCAAGTAAATCTTGAAAGTTCTCATCATAAAAAGAATTTTGTAACTTCATGTGTTGACAGATGATAACTAGACTTCCTGTGGTGATCATTTCACAATGAATACAAATGTTAGATCTTTATGTTGCATGCTTAACACTAATATGCTGGATGCCAATTACATATCCATTTAAAAATAAGCAAATAATAAAAGCAACTTTTATCATCTAACTTCCCTATGTAACTATAGCAGTAACAACATAAGGTTGTGTCCTATTACTACATCATGATATAGAAAGTAGAGCCAAATTTGCTCTTTTGGCCAACAGTCTCTTAACGGTCTCTCAATCTATTTTCCATGGACTCATTTACATACTTTATTACCTCAGAAATATCATGACTTATATATGTCATGATACTATTCAGAGATATCAGTTTTGATTACATTATTTTTGCCTAGTGTGAATTCTCCAAGATAGGTAAATAACAGAACATGAAGAAATTATTTACAGGTTGCAGTAGGCTGTTATCATGGCCTGCTAAACTCCCTGAAGTAAGAGAAGGAGAAAGAATTCCATTTGGCACAGGTGCTAGGCAATGTTTTAGGTCTTTTCAATCTTCCTTTGCAACTACTTTATTTTTTCTCATCTATTTGTTAATTGTTTCTTCTTCTCCCCTCCCCCATGCCTATCAATTCTCAGGCAAGAGGAGTCAGGAAGCTGTCCTCACTGTCACCACCATCCATTTCCTCTTGTTTTGATTGCTGGAAATGAACAGCTGCAGCTTTTCAGCAGGCTCGTCAGTGGAAGCAGAAAATCATAATCATTTAATCAGCAGGTACTGCTGAGTGCCCATCCCCATTAGGTCTTCCTCACCCTCCTCCTCTTCAGGATAAGTATTCCCAACTCATTTTACCCACGTTTTTTTGCCTTTTGATAGGGCCAGTTTTTAAAAACACTACAATATTTTAGTGAGCACGTTCTCTATGTATTTCTTAAATTACATACCTAAAATTTAGACATTAACTTCTTTCAAATGTTTAGGCCAACACCTAACCACTCCAATAAAATACCCTATTTCTTTCACTGCTTAGCTCTAGCAGCACTAGTGAGGTTAGTGACGAAAATAAAATCCAAAGTATGAGACAGTTCATTAAGGGCCCTTCCTTTTGTGAGACAAAATATGGGCCTTAGAAAAGAAAATATATAAACATACGTAATTCCAATAAATGAAATACTGTTGACAAATTTAAGGTAGACTCTTCTGAATCCAGATTATATACAGAAAAATAACATTTTAAAAACTATCCATAAATTGATTGTTAAAAGAAAAATAAAATTATGTCAGTAATAAAAATCCTTTAAATTTTTATGCAATTTTTACATTTGAAGCATGATTAGTATTTATTATATTTCTTAAATTGTCAAGTAAATCATTAATTTGAATTTATTAAATTTAACATTCATGATTACATCTTCCAGAGATGGGTAGAAAGTCAGGGAGCATATTACGGATGTGAGGTTTCTTACCGTATCCTAGCTGGGAGATGATAAAGTCAAATTCCTCAATGCTATGGATACTTGCTAGGTCACCACCTTCCTTCCTACAAGCAATCAAGGCTTCCCTTTGGATTTTCTTCTTTTCTCTGTGAATCTTGTAACAGTGACCTGCATATGGCCACCACTGACTTGGACAGTTAGTAGGCACACCACTTTCTAGAAAAAGAAGAATTTGGAAAACATTTGAAAAAGGAAGATTTTCTAAAATTATTACCGTATTTTCTATCATTCTGTATGTGAATTTTCTAAAATTATTACCGTATTTTCCATCATTCTGTATGTGAAATAGTTCACAGTTATAGAAAATAAAGGTAACAGTTCTCATTTTTGGCATACATTTTCAAAGAAGATAGACTAATTGTGTTTGCTTTTAGACTAAAAAATATTTGATTTTTGAAATAACTTTCTTTCACAGTATCAAATAATAAAGATAGACCATGAGTCCTGAACAATCTTTACACGGGATCATATTGTGTATAATAGAGAGATATGTAGTGAGAAAGAATACATGATGTTCCAAACTGGCCATAATAAACACTGTAGCTACTTACCAAAAATCTAAGTCAACTAACCGGGAGGACCAAAGTAGAGAATTTGTGGATGTGGGAAAATTTGTCCAGTGAGAAAGAAGAAACAGAAAAGAAAGACAATGTAGAAGAGAAATGAAGGGAAAGGAACACTGGAGCAGCACCAAGACACAGCCCGTGCCGAGAATGTGCACCCACAACAAAGCTTCTTTCTCAAGGTTTTCAACCCAGCCTATTGAAGAATATTTTAAACAGCTAACCCCTCAACTCATTTCTTACTGGAAGCTGCTTAAAGGACCAGATAAAATAAACTTTGCAAATGTGATGGACACATTTATTGACACCCACATTTCTCATACTTTTTCACTAATATATTATTTTAAAACCCCTGCTCTAAAAACTAGCATCTCACACCTGAAGTAGTAGGGTGGTGAGCCACATTTTGCAAATGCCTCCACTTCATGCCTTTTGACATATATATAACCTGGACCTGGACCTCACTTTCCCTTCCTGCAAGATGAGAATCATATGACCTGTTCTATAAAGCTTTTGTGAACAATTTTTGAAAGTTGCTTGAACAGCACATAAAGAAAAGAAATGTTAGTGTTAAAGATAAAGTTGTTTTTAAAATGTGCTGTTATTGTGACCAAACTCACATATAACTGAACAGATGTCAATATTAGAAACTTCCAAGAAACAATAATACATTTTATAGCTACTGCTTATTAATTAACATATAACTAGTAAATGATGTTATGTATTGATTTATCAATACAAACACCACTACCAACTTCAATATATCAACTAATTGTCACCACAGTTACACATTTGAACTCACTTTACATCATTTGCATAAAATACCCTCGCTTCAAATGTAAATATATTTCTTATTGGGTAAATAGTTCAGTACTTGACTGAACAATTTATACAACAGCAACATCTAATATCCCACAAGGTTTCTTATTTTAGTTGGAAGAGACTCTCATATTATTTCAGAAGGTGATTTAATCTGATAGACCATGAGTCCTGAACAATCTTTACACGGGATCATATTGTGTATAATAGAGAGATATGTAGTGAGAAAGAATACATGATGTTCCAAACTGGCCATAATAAACACTGTAGCTACTTACCAAAAATCTAAGTCAACTAACCGGGAGGACCAAAGTAGAGAATTTGTGGATGTGGGAAAATTTGTCCAGTGAGAAAGAAGAAACAGAAAAGAAAGACAATGTAGAAGAGAAATGAAGGGAAAGGAACTGTATGAGCTCTCCCAAGAAGGAAGAATTATACTATTTCTCTTATGTGAGGAATAGAAGAGATAAATATGAAATCTCACTTTTTAAAAAAATTGTATCTACAAGAAGGCATACTAAGAATAGAATGATTCATGATATCTGCATTTTATCATCAGCAAACTTGTACTAAGCATGTTATGTAAATGTTGGACGCACAAAAGGGTTTGACACATAATACATTGCTTAAAAGATATCAATTCACCTCTATTCTGTAGAGAGGGGTCACCAAGGAGCTTCTGTAGCAGCATGAGCTGGTCCCCTGTGCCTCTGAACTGACCCACTACTGCTGACCTGTTCCTGAAAGTTGACATGTGACATTGTGGCGATCACAGGGACTTAGATTCAGAAGTCTTTGAGGCAAAACCTGAATTTGGCACAAGTTTTGTGATCTTAGGCAAGCCACACCACATAAACTGAAGTTTCCATATATGTAAAAACTTAATAATACTAATACTCAGCTACTCTCCTCACTGTGTTCTTCTCAACTAGAAAACATTTGAGATAATGTGACTATACATTACAAACAGCACACAGTTATGATTTAGTTAAACCATCAATAGTGGCCAACATCCTTATTAGTGCTACTACTGCTTATGGTCAAATTTCATAAAGCTTGATTATACATTGCAAAAATGCATTATAATCATAATTAGCTGGGGAAAGAGAAGGAGAAGATGTTCAAAGGAAGATACTTTGTTCATTCCCTATATGCCTTACAACTGGCATGAAGCCTAGCACAATGGCAGGTATAATGAATGTTGGCTGAGAAAAAGTACTGAAGTTACATTGGATATACAGCAGCTTATTATTACTATTTTACAGATGCTATTTCAAACAGCAGTTTAGCAACATACCATGCTTAAAGAGGGACTATATTACAAAATCAATATCAATTTATGTATTTGTTTGATAGTAAATGTTCTTAGAAGTACTGTCTTAGTAAATGTTCAATATAGGGTAGCTTTGCTATTTTTAATAACTCTCTTAAAGCCATTTTCCCTTAAAGGCAGGGACTGTCTGTAACACCTTTGAGCCCAATATTCTGCATTCAGCAGACATTGAAGTAAACAGCCATGACGACTGAGCACTGTATGATTATAATAGAAAAACATGCACTTTAAAAAATGTTCCCTTAATACAATTAGAAACTGTACACTGTTTGCAGTTACAAATATATATTTATGCTAGAATAGCTCTAGAGCCCTCTGATGGGATATTTTAATTTTGCTGCCTAGGAAGCTGAAAATAATATTAGCAAATGCTGAGGACTTCAAAATCAGAACAGAAAAACTTGGAAAATGTTTTAAAACATGACAACATGCCATGAAGGGGAATTCCCTGGGGCAGCCACAAACCATTGCTTGTTCCTCAAGAGTGGGCAGTGTACAACAGAAATCTAATGTAAGCCCCAAATGAAAGCTACATACACAATTTAAAATTTGCTAGTAGTCATATTAAATAAAAAGAAAAAGAAACAGCTACATTTGATTTTAATAAATTTTTATTGAACCCAATATATCCTAAATATCATCATTTCAACATGCGATCAATTAAAAAATGAGTTATTTACTTTCTTTTCCCTGCAAAGTCTTGGAAGTCTAGGTACATGGTTACTGAACTGGACAGTCAGCGGCAGAGACACGGGAGTTAAGGACCAAGAGGATAGCAGTGCAAGGGCCAACAGGACACGAGGTGGAACTCTTGCCCAAGGATCGCCAATTGTATGTACTGCATAACTTTAACTTTGATATGCTTTTGCAAGCTCTGGTTTATTTGGCTTTATATATAAAATACAATGATTAATCTAGGAAGAATAGAGAAATTTAAAAACCAAGTCAAGTGAAGGTTAGCAAGTGGAGCAAGGTGAGGTATAATAGAAAAATAAGTGTAATTTACTGAGTGCTTGACAATATGAGCATACTTTCACAGAAACAACAGGTGTTAATGTTTCCATTTTATGGATGAAGTTCCTAAAACTTGAGGATTAAGTCACAAGGCCAAGTGACAGAATTCTGCTTCCTGTGCAAGGAAACTAAAAAATGGCATTCTCATCTTCCCCAAAGTGGTAATTCCAAGTCTTAGAGAACTGTATGAGCTCTCCCAAGAAGGAAGAATTATACTATTTCTCTTACGTGAGGAATAGAGGAGATAAAGTACAAAAATGATTACAGTATCCTCAAGCCATGCCTACAGTCATAATGATGACCCTGTAAAATATAATAAAACTCAATAACCAGGGCCCTCATCTATATCCATTGGAGATCTTAGCCATACCTTTATCTACTCAAATTGCAAACATACCTACTCTTTGATCCTGCATCTTTACTTCTAGGAATCATCACATACATGAAATGACATGTATAAAATTATTCACCACAGGATTGTTTGTAATAATAGAAATGTAGAAGTGACTAAAGTTCGATTAGATAGATGCCTGATTGAAAAATATATATGGTCTCTCTCTGCAAAGGCTATTGTGCAGCCGTAAAAATAAACTAAGAAGTTATGTATGTTCCATATGGAAAGATGTCCAAAGTCATTACCAAGTGAAAAAGTTAAAAATATATGGATAGTATGCTGATATTTGTATAAAACTGAAAAAATAATTATAAACATATTTGTTTATGTATTTATAGACTAAGTAAAAATATACATAGAATAACTAGGTTAAGATATACAACCAGAAAGAGTTATTCACCAAGGAGGGAAATTGGGTGTTAGAGGTGAGAGTAGGAGGAAAGCATTATTATTTATTATTTTGTACCTTTGACTTTCTAGCTATGTCAGTCACATTTTTAAATAAATGAAATTGATTTTAAATATCAAGGAGAAGAGTCAAAAATGCCACACAGTCAGATTGCCCCAGCAGAATATATACATACATACATCCCTTTAAAGTATTATGTCCCTTTAAAAATATAGTGAAATAAATATAGTTTATTTATTTGAATAGTGAATAAAATGTAGTTCGTTTGCTTTCTGTCAATTTGAAGAAAAGATGCATTCTTGCCTTAGTAGTTTAATTCTTCTATAAAATTATAATAGGGAGTATAATTGATTTTCTTCCCTAGACTCCAGCCTATATATATAAAATTCAGGTATTACTTCTGGATGTTTTATTCCAGTTCCATGAAGACTTCAAAGTAAGATGCTAAACTGAATAGCACTGCATCCCAGACAGATCCTTAAATAGTAAGGATATAATAAAAACATCCCCTTCAGATATTTATTTCCTAGCTTGGATTTGTTTTGTCACATGTGAAAGTTTTACATATCCTCTGAATATCTTTTTCCTCGTCCAGAATGTGTGAGCTGCCGTAAAGATAAAATTCTTATTTATGTCCTGTCAAAGGCTTTCCACAGGCCCGAACACCACAGCACACGAGGAAATGTTAGCTAGCAGTAGAGGTAGTAACAACAAAAAGGAATTGTGTAGGAATATCATTGAGTTTACTCCATAAATTATCAACCAAACCTGTCATTTCATACAGTTATGGCTAGGATATGATTTTACCTTTAGATTTTCCTATTTTATACACTTCAGATGAAATAGATCACTTACCTGAGGGAATAATAAAAGAATTCAAAGTTGCGTTGCCTCTTTTACAAACATAGCCTAGTTTCTGAACACATTCCAGATTTTCCCATTTTGCGTTTTTCCCTGGATTGAGTGACACACAGCTTTTTCCAGGTTCTGCTGATGGACTTCCTTTGGGGAAAAGGAAAAATCAAAGTGGAACTATTATAGGTATTACAAGGAGATAGCCCCCACAGCCTTATGCCTTCATTCTTGGGATTTAATGGATCCCCATTCTGTCTTTTGCTACACATTGATAAATAAACATTTACTGACTATAGAGCAAAACACATGTTGAATGTCTATTTGTTCCCTTGCTCTTGGATTATTCCAGTGCTTAAAATGTTGATTATACAAGTTTACTTTTTTGAAATAACTTTCTTTCACAGTATCAAATAATAAAGATAGACCATGAGTCCTGAACAATCTTTACACGGGATCATATTGTGTATAATAGAGAGATATGTAGCGAGAAAGAATACATGATGTTCCAAACTGGCCATAATAAACACTGTAGCTACTTACCAAAAATCTAAGTCAACTAACCGGGAGGACCAAAGTAGAGAATTTGTGGATGTGGGAAAATTTGTCCAGTGAGAAAGAAGAAACAGAAAAGAAAGACAATGTAGAAGAGAAATGAAGGGAAAGGAACACTGGAGCAGCACCAAGACACAGCCCGTGCCGAGAATGTGCACCCACAACAAAGCTTCTTTCTCAAGGTTTTCAACCCAGCCTATTGAAGAATATTTTAAACAGCTAACCCCTCAACTCATTTCTTACTGGAAGCTGCTTAAAGGACCAGATAAAATAAACTTTGCAAATGTGATGGACACATTTATTGACACCCACATTTCTCATACTTTTTCACTAATATATTATTTTAAAACCCCTGCTCTAAAAACTAGCATCTCACACCTGAAGTAGTAGGGTGGTGAGCCACATTTTGCAAATGCCTCCACTTCATGCCTTTTGACATATATATAACCTGGACCTGGACCTCACTTTCCCTTCCTGCAAGATGAGAATCATATGACCTGTTCTATAAAGCTTTTGTGAACAATTTTTGAAAGTTGCTTGAACAGCACATAAAGAAAAGAAATGTTAGTGTTAAAGATAAAGTTGTTTTTAAAATGTGCTGTTATTGTGACCAAACTCACATATAACTGAACAGATGTCAATATTAGAAACTTCCAAGAAACAATAATACATTTTATAGCTACTGCTTATTAATTAACATATAACTAGTAAATGATGTTATGTATTGATTTATCAATACAAACACCACTACCAACTTCAATATATCAACTAATTGTCACCACAGTTACACATTTGAACTCACTTTACATCATTTGCATAAAATACCCTCGCTTCAAATGTAAATATATTTCTTATTGGGTAAATAGTTCAGTACTTGACTGAACAATTTATACAACAGCAACATCTAATATCCCACAAGGTTTCTTATTTTAGTTGGAAGAGACTCTCATATTATTTCAGAAGGTGATTTAATCTTGTCTCCTATTTCTCAGGAACTTGGTTTAATAAGGAAGGACATTTCTTTTCCTTTCTTAATAATATTCCAATTTTATTCCCCACTTTCACTGAAGTTAACCCTCCGATTTTCTCACTGAACTGTTGGATTGCAAGTGGCTAGATATTACAATAATCACTCCAAAATTGAATAATAAATAAAGTGAGCCTAATGTTGTACAATAGCAAAGCAGGAAAGAATAAACTCTAGTCACATAATAAATGATTATTATTGTTTAATGATCTGATTGAGCCCAGCTGGTATTCTGGTATTCTCCAATTTAATCTAAGGCAGAAAAATCAAACCTTCATCCATAAAGGACATTTTATATTCTCTGACAGCAATATTTACTTCCCATATTCCATAGGAAATCTGAGCTGACTTTAGTGATGGTCCTATAACCATCATATATTAAATGAATGCATTAAAAGTGGAATTCATAGTAAAAGCTAATCAATTCAAACCAAAATATATCCTCTAAAAAGTCCCATTTGTGTTTGGTATCTGTTCTGAATTTTATTTTATTTTTTTTGAAGTTTTCCTTTTTTTTTTACTATCATAAGAAGTGATATAGAAAATAGAGAGTTTAGGTCAAATGCAAAAAACATTCAATGGATTTAAAAAAGAAGTCTGAGTATATGAAAAAACACATTGGTATTTTCCATAACAGAACTGATAAATGAAGATGAGACCCATCCTTTTCCACATCCATGGCAGACATCACTAATTGTTAACTGCCTCTTTTCTAATAAACCTAGATCAGTACGGGGCTGGGGTGTGGGCAGGGAACTCAGAGGCACACTCGGCAGAGTGCCTCCAGCACATACTAACAGCGGTTAGTATTGATGACTAAGATGAAAACTTCTTGTCACCATTGGTCCTTTTGTTTTTCCCTAAGTAATTGCTGTATATATAAAACATTCTTTAGTCTCTTTTATGTTCTGTTAACTTTATGTTATGACAATGTACACATAATTAGTTCAGAGCATTTTCTGTCTTCCAAAAAATTCTGTTGAAGGCTGGATCATCCTCCAACTGTGGTTTTCTACAATTACACTACAAATTGCCAACAAAAGTGCTAATGAATTATTATGTTAGTATGGGGTATCATAATCTCTGACTTAAATATTATTTGTAGTCCAACTCTGATAGATTAAAAACAGGAGAATATGGTGTTGTTATAGACCTTAAGATAATTATACAAAAACAGAAATATTGCAAATATCTCACAGCTCCAGGTAAGGAGAAATTCTCCAACCCCAAATAATTTAAACTCACTTTAATTCATAGTATATGTATAAAATCTTTTAATATGCTATGTAGTAGTATATGTTATATATATCTCATAAGTATCACTTAAACACTATCAACAGAAACATTGTAAAATTCAGAACTTTGATTTTGAATATAACACCTAGAAAATCAGTGATACTCCAAAAATATATATTTTAACCAAGTCCTGTATTGATTTGTGTGATCATCCTAATCAGATAAGTCCTTGTCCCAGGAAGCTGGTATAACCTTATGGTTTTAGTATACTCAAATCTAGATGGCAGATTTCAAAGCATGGTGAGAAATGGATTTTGGATATTTGATGAAGTTTCCCAATTCTTCTTTTTGAGATCTACATGTGAAATGATGAAGGTCTTCATGGTATTCAGATAAATTAAATTTAGATGAATTCAACTACAGACAAACTTACCCCTACCTGGTAACCAGTTCAAATATCGGAATGGACTGCCACCACTCCACTGCCACCCACTGCTGAAACTCAGACTGTTAAGTCCAATCCAGAGTCCAGAAGTCAAGAAACTGGTTAGTCCTAAATAACAAAATCAAAAACAAAAACAAAACTCACATTCAGAAAAGACAGCAAAATCAAAATCAGAATTAAGTGCTTGAATCAAAATGTCTTTGAGGGGATGAATAAAAATCAAGCCTAATATTTCTCCTTTGATTCTCCTAAAAACCTAAGATAAGTACAACTACTACCTCCGCTGGAAGGTAAAGAAACAGAGGAGAGAGAGCATAAGTAAGCTCGTGAGATTCTTGGTAAGGTTCAAATCCAGATCTCAACAGACTTTAACCCCATCATTTTGCCACTCTTCTAATGTGGTATGAATGTGCTTCTAATTTAGATGACTTTGTTTGACTATCATCAAATAACAACATTTTTACTTCATTGTCAAGCACAAGTGAGATTTATTTTGTATAAGCCAGTTTTCTATCATGAAAAATTTTAAGAAATTTATGACACTTTTAAAAATCAGTTTTTCTTTTCATGAAGATGATTATTAAATCTAAGTACTAAATGCTTATGCTACCATGACAACACTTTATTTAGGCAGTTAATAAATCATAATTACAGTGTTTCAAGCTCTGTGCTTGGCTGATATGGAATAAAACAAAACACAGAAGCAACATGTACCTCAACCCTCCAGTGTCAAACACTTCATTCTGTTATTACCTATACCTTTTAAAAAACTATAGATTATCTGTTCTCTCTACAGCCTTGTTAGTTTATTAAAAAGAGTTAATGAGCAAAGAACACTACCCTTTGTCTTTAATAAAATACCATAAGTGTCTGTACATGCTGATAAACATAAATAGACCCATCTACATTTACTATAATCTATAGGATATATTCCCAATCAAATCTTTTCAATGATGAGAATTACCACTTACTTTATTTTCAGCACTGTATTTGCTCATTTAAGCCTCACAAACTATGATTATGTACTGCTATCTCCATTGTATATATGAGGAAAAGAGACTTAAAGAGTTCAGGTGACATGTGCAGCTAAAATGACACAGCTGAAATTTATACCCAGTTTCTTATGACATTGATGTAACCAACAGAGATATCTCAAAGTCACTAAAATTTTCTCCAGCTTTTTATTAATTCATAACACAGAAATTCAAGTGAACACAGGTTACAGTAATTCAATGCCAGAAAAATCACATCTCACATTTATTGCACTCAATTCCATAAAAGTGATCACTCTTTTATTAGAGCTCATGTGACCCCAAAATTGCACTTAGTTTTTTCAGCATTTAGCAGAGAGGCATTTGCCAAGGGAAAACCCACTTGAGGATACCGATAAAATTGATACTCATTAGGTAGATAGATGCTTAATAAACTGAATTTTAGTAAACGCTGGATTTTTTATTGAAAAGTAAACCCAATTGTGTGATTTCTTTAAATAAGGTAATACAATAAAAATGGGATGAAATTAAATACTGGCATGTAAAAAAAATCAATCAAAATTAATTCACATTCACTCATTTTTAACAAGCATTCTAGAAAAAATGTTTGAGCTAGCGTGGCTCTTGTCCTCAGGTACATTAGATACCTTGGGAGATATCTAATCCAATTCCTTCATTTTATAGAGGAAGAAACTGAGGACAAAGAGGTTAGGAACTTTGTGGAGAGTGAAGCAGAGAATTGGTGGACTAGGATTGGAACCCAGGGATTAATTTGTTTTTTTCCAGTGAATATAAACCCTGTTTAAGTTAAATTTGCCTGTGAGTTAATATTGCAATACCTTTTCTAGACAACTTTAAGTGCTAGAGCACCTTCATACAAAGAACAATGAAGAAGACAGATATCTCAGATACATGTCGGGCCTCCCCAAACAATAGTCCATGCCAGAACTCGTTCCTGTCACCTGTGAAGACAGCATTTGGTTCTCCAAAGTTACAACTTTACAAAAAAAAATGGAAATACTTGTTAAAAGCTATGCCAAGGAAATGACATTATCAAAAAGGGAAATCTTTATATTTCTTTAGTCTTAAATCTCTGGGATGGTCATCATTAAACATGATGTAACTGTATTCATTAAAAAATATATTCATACAGTAAAAATAACTGTATTCATTAAAAAAATAACAGTTATGAAGTGATAAGAATTCATGCATATGAAATCAACTATATAGTACTCATCTCATCAAAGGTTTCCTTTAATTTATTAATTCATTTACATATAGTTACTAAAACCTTTCTGAGTGCTATGTTATTACTTATATCTCTTTAGGATAAGTTAAAAGAAAGCAACTATAAAGTGCTGACCCACCTCATTCATGCAAATAGATAACTTACAGGGTGTCAGGAGGAAACACCTGTCTACAAGTCTGTACCTTAGAAATGTCACTCTGAGATCAATGTCACATTGAGACTGTGTTTTATGTTAATAATTACTCCATTAAATGCTATTGCACATTGCATGATTCTTTCATAAATCCTTTGAAGTTGTACTAACTTGAATAATAATTTTCTCTATACTTACATAGAGGTATACTAGAAGAAATGATACTAAAAGTAACATTTCAAAAATGTTAAATATAGCTATTCCCCCACGTCAAAAATGTTGGCATTAAAAAAAACTTATCAGTTAAGAAAATAAGCATATCTAAGTTTTCAAAACCAAAAATAATTCGGAGTATAGGAAATATTAAAGTAGATTTTGCCTAAGATTGCTTAATTAAATTACTGCTTATCCTGAGGAGAAAAGATGATAGCTCTTTAAAAGAATTATCTACCCTTTGACATTCTTCATCTGCTCTTGGTATTTCTAGGTTTATTTTGAAGAATTAAATTAATGAACACATCTTAAAACAGGGCCTAATACATAATACATACCAAATAAATATAAGCTGTTGCTATCATTATTATTATGCTGAATTAGGGTTGGCAAAAAGTCTGAGTTAGAAACAAAATAGAAATTTGGGGTTAAATATATACTTAAGCAGTTGAGCATCACCCACGAATTTTTTTCTCTAATGTGCTTTCATAATTTCACAAAGGAGAGACCAAATTTTTTGTAGTATTACTATACAAAGCATTGATTTTACATGCTAAACTTTTTAATCCTTAATCTTTCTGCATATGTTGCCTGAATTGGTCAATACCTACTTTTGAACTTAGCTATAATGGAAGATGTATTCATGTTCATTATTACAGTGCATTTTTCTTTTCTATATTGCAGGCCACTTTGTTTCCTAGCCCACATGCAAGGCAAAAACAATCAGGGTAAGAACCAAATTTCACTTCCTATATTTTATATCAGTTCTGTAAATCCTAATACTTCACATATGTTGTAGATCTGGTTCAGGAATTGAGGATTAAATGGAGGGTCCTGACATGTTTTGCTGGTAGAACTAGAAGTAAAGGCAATGAAACAAGTCTGGGTAATGTAAGCATGGGTGGCAGGGCAGAAGTTGTCAGCCCTGCAAACATTGTGAAATCAGTTTAGAAATAACTTCACTGCAACAAGGAGATGTTGACATTTAAATTAAGGGTTCTCATTAGTGCTTTGGGGACTACCAGATCCTCGTTGATTTTGGGAGGGAGACCTGGGCGGAGAGAAATGGAAAGACAGTGTTCAATTCCAATTCAGCTCTTTTCTGAGCGTGAGGCATCCAGCAAATTTCTAACTTCTCTCTCCTTGTCTGTTATCTCATTATAAAGTGGGGACAATAATATTCATGTACGAGGTTGGTGTGGGCTTTAGAAATAAAGCCCAAGGTCTGACACACACAGCTCTTCAATAAATGACAGATAATTTGATTTCAGGGTCATAACATATCTTATCCATTTTTTTATTAAGGTTTCAATAAAATACACTCTTATGAAGGTTTCACAAGAAAAACAATGTGGTTACTACATTTACCCATATTATCGAGTCCCCCCCACCATACTCCATTGCAGTCACTGTCCATCAGTGGAGTAACATGTCACAGAGTCCCTATTTGTCTTCTCTGTGCTACACTGTCTTCCCCATGACCCCAAACACCCCATGTGCACTAATCATGATACCCCACAATCATCCTTCTCCCTCCCTCTTCACCCACCTTCCCCCACCTCTCCCCTTTGGTAACCGCTAGTACCTGCTTGGAGTCTGTGAGTCTGCTGTTATTTTGTTCCTTCAGTTTTGCTTCGTTGTTATACTCCACAAATAGCTTATCCATTTTTGTAATGATATTACTCCTCAAAATCCTCTCATAAAATAAATTTTATTTTAAAAGTACAACTTTTTGTGGGTGTTTTATTTTAGTAGCATATTGCCCAAAATGGAGTAGATCACAATCCCCCACTCACACCATTATTTTGTAGATTCTCCCTCAGTATATCCCAATAAATCCTGAATGTCATGGAAATCTTCCACCAAAAAAACATAGTTCTGTTTCATTTTTTAAATTTCCCATCAGACCTTTTTTTCTCCTAATGCATGATATTTTTAACTTAGAAAAAAGCAGGAAATACTACAAATATCACAAGAGAAGTCATTCTTATCCAGATCTCAGTTAAATTTTGCTGACTGAAATTCCAGGGACTTGGATGAGATTCAAATGTGTATCTGAGGTGAACTCGACCTCTGGATCTCTTAGGGCTTGTTTGCTCTCCAGAGGCACACAATAATAACACTCGCTGATTAGGAGAGCATTTCCTGCAGCGGGAGACTGATAGCAGAGCCAGGGAGGAGGAAACCAGTCCAGAGCTGGGCAGAGTCGCTATCTTGCTCATCCAACCCCTTTCCTCCAGGCAGCTGGTAGACAGTTAAAAGGTAACCTGTGCTCTCCATTCCTTGGCATCCAGAAAGCCAGAAAAGAAGTTCAGCTCAGAAGAATCAAGATAATACAACCCACGGACAGATTACTTAAAAAAAGCCAAGTGAAACCTGATTTCACTCCTGACAGATTTTTTCCCTCACTCACGCCAAGTGTGCACAACTAACTCCAGAATTGTCTTTAATCCTCTTCCTTAACTACCTACATGAATTTAGTTTTTTCTATTTCTGTGCTTTCTTCTCTTGCTCTGAATTG